GGTGATAATTCGATGGCAGCCAATGGCAGCCGTCCCGCGAGGCCGGGGGCGGCAAGCGCGCAGCCATTTGTGCGTGTGGCGGGGGCGGCGGACGGCTGCCATCGAATTATCACCAGCCATGCTCCGGAGGATGGCTGCACTGACTGTGCCCCAGCCATAGTAGATGGCTGAACTGGCTTTGGCCCAGCCATCTTACCCAAGATGGCTGCGATGTAGCCAGCTCAGCCATGAGGGCCCGCCCCGGGGCGTGCGGTATGGCTGCAGTAGTGCGTCTCCAGCCATCCCTACTCAGGATGGCTGCCCTGTGTGTATTGCAGCCATCGGCCTGGAGGCTATGGCTGCGCTGTAGCTAGCTCAGCCATCCTTAGGTAAGATGGCTGTGAAGGAGCCAGCACAGCCATTCTGGTGTCACATTCCGAGGTTAGCCGGTCCGGACGCGTCCCATGTCGTCATTGTCGATCCTTCCCAGCCTCTCCGCCGGCCGTGCTGTTTTGCCCGCGGCCGCGCGGCTACTTCCGCTGGCGTCACGACTCGCATCTACGGGCGTGCTTCGCCGCGCCACTACGTCGGCGCCACGCAATATTTCAACCACCTCAGGCTCCTCCGGCCGGACCACTCGGGCCGGCGCTGGCGCCCTCTCGACCGGTGCGCCGTCATTCGGCGGTGGCTATCGCGGCGGCCGGTGCAACTTCTCGTCCGGCTCCTCGTCATCCTCCTTTGGCGGCAGCATCCCAAACATCTCCGACATTCCGGCGCCGTCGGCCTCGCTCGTCGCCGCGGCTGTCGTCGGCGCCTCCGCTCTCTACCTGGCCAAGCGGGCGGTGCTGATGACGGACGCCGGAGTTACGTACGTCGTCCAGAACAATCTGACCGGCCAGCTTGACGTGCACACAGAGCCAGGCATCCACTACATAGTGCCCTTCTTCTCCACGGTGACGGACTACAAGCAAGTCATCACGTCGACATTCGAGGCTGACGAGGCCGTCATCGCCCCGCTCGCCGACACGTACGTCGGGATGATCCCCGTCACCTT